GGGGGGGGGGTGCCAACCAGCTTTATCACATAACTGTGCAACAAACGGGAACTTGAAATTCCAGAAATCTTTCGCAAAACCAATGTAATGACAAGACAATGAAACTCATACTAGTTTGATGAATGCACGTGGGGATTATTTACTCGAGGTGACGGACCCCTGCTACGACTTCCTGTCAGGGGCACTGTAAAAAGTGCCTAAATTTGCCAAACACGTTTCACAGTTTGGTGGTACAAACAGCGCGGATTCTGAAGATCGTAAGAACACAAATAAAAAGTCCAAAGACACCGGGTGGTTGCAAAATTCCGGCATTTTATAGGGGGTGTATGCCAACTAAGATATCAATGGTTGTGGCAGAGAGGCGAACTACTACGTGACGAGTGGTAAGAACCCCAGAAAAGAAAATGCTTATGTCAGTGGCTGAGTCCTTCTGTCGGAGGCCTCGAGATGTCCAGCACACAAGTTCGTGTCGTTCCCTTGTACCCAGCGATGAGTAAGCCGTGCCTTGTGAGCTCGTTCACCGTCAACTATGTGATCGCTGTAATGAACAGGCCCCCGAACAAAAGTTGAGTGACTGGTGCAAAGAAGTACCTGCACAAGACCCTCCAATTTCATACTTGCCACGTATTTATTCAAATACAATATAATTAATACATATATTCACGTATATGCTAATTAAATGGCCTTATGAAGTGTACAAAGAAAGAAATTCGAGCTAAGGCTGACGTCCGCGTAACAGAAACCACGCAGAAGACGCCGATCAATCAAGAAAGAAATGTACGAACCGCGCCGCGTTTCAGAAATACTATGAAGAGACAAAGGACGACTGCCTCTGGAAAGGGCAACAAAACCAGTTCGCAGTTGTCAACGGACAGCGAAAAGCAAACACAAACGTGAGGCTGACACTCCGTCCACACAGCGATTCTTCATTACGGATAGTTTCAATGTTTATTAAGAGTTTCCCACATGTTTCGACCTTGGTGATCTTCGTGTGGAAACTAAAAGATATGAATGCTAATTTGTATACACATTTCTGTTGCTGACTTCACCTCGTAATGGACTTTTCTTATTTAAACATCTTACTCATTTAAGCAAAGTCGACTACGCTGATGTTGTTGCCGGTCAAAGAGCTGTAGTTGAACTGCAGCTTTTCGACTGCCAACTACACATCAGCATAGCCAACTCAAGAATCGTGTAGATTGCCAACATAACGATTAAGACACAACAGGATGCATCCCAAAACTCCGACACGCATGCGCTTCGCACACGTATAAATAAGTGGGGGTAATTAATAAATGTCGGCTCGAAAAAGTATTTGGATAATTTGGATAACTTGCATAAGTGTTGCGCGTAAGAACTACGTTTAGAAATCTACTGGATGAACAAATGAATTCCCAGTCCGCGCAAAATTCTCTTCTCTTAAAAACACGAAACTGGATTTGGAGTATGAAGAAGAGCCACGCGGAAAACCGAGAAACAGATATGGTTCGGATGATCCTACATTTCGGGCTTAATCGATTCTAAAACTGCCGAGCACATACTTCGCGACACACAATGCGCCCTGGTATTGCGTATCGTCGTCGATGGTACTTGCGAAACACGAACGGCAACAAAAACAGGGCGTGCTAATCTAATCAAAAGCGGAGTGAACGTATTTACTGCAACTTCCAGTCTCGACATACCGTGCACGTGTAAAATGTGCGAACGCTTCACCGTGAGGCTCGATGCACACGAGCGAGAAAATGTCGCGCGAGCTCGCAGCGAGGAAACCCGTGACAGTGCACACGTAGCGTCATTGCTGCGAGTTCGCCGAAAAACTCCCACCAGTACTAGATTGGATGGCAACCGAAATGGATGTGTACAGAAGAAAACGTGTAGTGTTTGCCTATTTCGTTTATGAATACATCCTTAAAAAACGCAATAGGAAGTATTGGACACACCCGTTGGTTAGTTCACGGCTGTTAAAAGGGGCGTTCGTGACAATGTTTATAGATTTAAGAGAAGATGAAAGTAAATTTAATATTTATTTTCGTATGAGCTTAAAGTCGTTAGATGAGCTAGCAGCAAAACTGGATGCATCCATCAAAAGTAAAGATTCTGCGATGAGGCTTGCAATACCTCCTCTAGAAATGCTGGTTGTGACTCTGAGCTGTTGCGAGGGTTGCGAAGCACGTGTGCACTGCCCAATGCTTTCACACAGTCTGCTGCTTCGCGGCGATCGGCGAAATCGCTGCGAACTCGCTGCGAAGCAGCAGTGGTTGGCGAGCGCAAATTGCTCGCCGCGTCCTCGCGGCGAACTCGCGGCGTCACCGCCATAGTGTGCATTGCTCCATTGCTTCACATGTACTGCTAAAACGCGCGAGAAAATGACGCGGCGAGCTCGCGAAAATAACTCGCTCGTGTGCATCGAGCCTGAGAAACAGACACAATTCCCTTCGGGTCGGATCCGATTTCGCATCGGGCGACTGACCTGGGCCAGAGATCAGGAAACATAAAAGATTCTTCTGATTTTCTGGGACTAAAACCTCCGTACTTACATAAACGCCCTGTCTCAACCACTAGACTAACGATTAATCAATCGATGGTCACTGAACCTCAAACCTCTGAGTCTGTCTGTTTACAGTTTGCGTAACACACACAAAAATCCGATCCTTTCTTGAACCGACGTTCGGCAGATGGAACAAACGCAAACATTACTTAAAGGGTTGAATTTGATGCAACGTAAGTGACTTCGACGGTCCATGGACCACGCGAGTACTGGAACTGGACGATTCCAATTGGCAGAAGAAGTCAAGTGCTGAAAAAATAATTTCTATACGGTTGGTAAGACTAAAAGGAGTTTAAGACACAAATGCTGCCACTGCTTCTTGCAAGAAACTTTGGTTCTGAGGATTTCTTTAATGCCATTCTCTGAGCGTGACCCGCCATGAATTAGATCTTTTGAAGAAACTGTTGGCAGTACAGAATTTATCTCTCGTTTTGCTTCCTCAGGATTGCCATCATTAAACAAAGACCATGCTTGACATTGTGAAGTTCAATGTTTGCCTTCCGTCGCATTGAAATCCATGTTTTGATCCACACGGCGTCGAGACCAATCGGCAACCGACTTTTAACGTTTCCTGCTCTAACAAAGTGGAATTTTTCCCAGCAGTCTAGGACACACGAACTCTGTTCACAAACAGAAATGAAGGAAGAAAAATATATATATATAAATATCTAAGAAAATAAATGTAATCGTATGGCACGTGGCAATTAAAAACAACTGGGGAACAGAACTTGAGTCGCCCACACAGGAAGGAGTCCACCACAACTCTAGAATATTCTTTTACACTCATTGAAACCCATTTTTTGTTCGAAGCAGCAGACACGTGCGCGAGGGGACTTCAGATCTTTAACTGCTATAAAATAATCCGACTTCAAAGGCTTCCAGCACACAAAACCTTTTTCTAATCTCGCGATGAACGACATGCGGCAAACCCCAGACTCACGAGGCCCGCCAGTCCGAGGGGGCGGCCATTCATTGACCAACTGGACAAATGTTGGCTAATCACGGGCGAGGCTACTCGGACCTTCCCGATTAAGGAATCTACTGCCGAATCTGAGGACAGGAAAATCCACGAGCTGAAAACGCACGACTGAGACACGCCAAAGGTTGTCTACGCGGCTTCATCCGGAATCACGTCATCGGGCCAGTTTTCCTCGCCGAAGAAAGAAATGTCGGCAAAGACATACAATTATATGTTCCCGGACATCGCCGGTATGGGGAAGGGTGATGAATTCCACTTTGACTTTAGACAGAATAGAGCACCACCGCACTTCACGACGATGTGCTACACGCACCGGACTTCTCCGCGGCCATGTGACGAACACTGTCCACCGGGAAAACACAGTTGATGTGGCGTACTCAAAAGAAAGCATCACTCGAGGACCTGCAAGCGTTACGCCTTGGCCGAATACGGACAGAAACGGAGCATCGATATGATTTGTGCAGAGCTTGAGACGTGCAACGAAAGAAAAATAGGTTGGCGAATCAAATAAACAAAAGTTCAATGAACAGCGAGAACTTGTTTTTCCACCAGTCCACTTACAACACCCCGTCATTTATGTGTGTAGTAAAACTGGACTTGTCAATCCGAAACACGAAAGATCGATTATTTAATTTCGTCCACTGATTTTAGAATCACAGCTCCGACCAACTGAACGGTTCCTCCAATCATTGCGTCTCTTCCGGGGTATGATGTCCAACGTTACAAACAGCAGCTGTTCGATCACGGGCATTTCCAGTCGATTTGTCCGCCAGCCGCATCTAAACCACTGGCATTTCCCCTGCGCGCCGGCGCAATGCACTTCTGCGTTGGCCGCGTTTTGAACTTTTCGAAAACAAAACAACCGCAGTACGGCGAAGTTATTAATCGCCGTACTAAAATCCACCATTCCTCAAGACACGTCGAAAATGTTAAAATCAAAATCCTTGGAGAGACATAAAACCAACTACACACGATGCGAAAGTATGGCGTGAATGGAAAATTTGCTTACAGTTGATAACAGCCGTTGCCGATGGACTGCAGCAGAACAAACTCAATTTAGGAAAGTGGGGGGGCGGGGGGAATATCCGATCTCAAAAAGTCTCCACACCTCGGCAATGCGATTAAAAGTGGGTCATTTCAAAAACATCGGCCCGTATTTTGCATCCCTTCTTCCACGAGGCGAACGGGGACAGATGACGCTCCAGAACACAACCTGTTGCTGTGGATTGAGGGGTTGGATGGGCGGGAGGGAGGGGGATCCTAACCCTGATGCCAAAGTTCACGTTCTGGTTAGAACAGCTGTGACGTCTTTCGGCGGCAACTCTGCTGATTACGTCACCACTGCTACTCCTCTTATCCCGAACTGCATCATAGTTAAAGCACGTCCAGATGGGCTGCCAATCTGCGGAGGCTGACAGTGGCTCAGATCGTCAAGAAATTCCCTTCCGCGACTTTTATGAAAACAAAATGTTCATTACCGCGTCAGCAAAACCACGTCATTGACACCTCTCGGTCGCCGGTTCAACTCTAGGCCCTTTTTTCCCCTCAGTACCCATTTAACTTTATTCTCTTTTATTTACGGCGACTTACGGCTAAAACTTAGGCTGTGCATGCCCTGTACACCGGAACTCGTTTCATTTCTTCAACGAGAAGATGTCTGGTGACGAAATAATGAATCTTATGGACCACTCTGGGACATTTCCTGAACTCTGCTCTTCACTCCCTTACTGTATTCAACGCCTCAAGAGCATAAAACTTAGCAACTCCCATCCCACACCCCGTCGCATTAGACAATGTTAGATACTGCATCCACCCACCTGCCTACCGATCAGAAATGAGAGCCCCGCAAACCGCAATACTGGATCAACCTACGCGATGATGGATGCAGCAAGGACCTCTGAAACGTCGGTAAACTTCTGCCAGACTACACGGCGGTATAGTCGGCGCAGTAGTTTTTTGCCGGTGCAGAAGCTGGCGGACGGGCCTACTCTGTGTACCTGAGGTGGCACGGTCAGTGCATTTCTTTTGTTTGGGCGTTCAGTCACACAAGCTCCTCGGTGCAGTCAGCATTATACGATCGCAAAAGAGACTCGCTCCTAGCCTTCCCCTTGAAAATTCCACCGGCCAAAAACTACTGCGCCGAGTATACGTACCATAAGACATCCTTTAATACCTCAAATCCAATAGCTTCTGCGTAGGTAAGGAATGTTATCCAAAGAGGTTGTTGGATCCACGTCAGAAAGATGTATAACGGAATTGAGGGTCAGCTCCAGTAATCCTTAACCTTGCTACTAAATGGAAGTTGTGGTCAGCTTCACGATCTGACCCACCTTACCAGATAAAGGGACGAAGGCAAACGTCTCTTGCGTCTGCTGGTGATCGAACGCCAGCGTGGTCAACTAACTCTTCACGTCAAGCGTCACGTAAAATTTTGACAAAATATTTGTAACTACAAATGTACACGGCGTCACCACCCATAATCGCCGATAATTTCGACTGCACAAAGCCGGGAGCAGTGGGCCTTGCTTTTAAGATGGGCACTGCACACATTTTCTGCTAGGCGTATTTTAAATTTCTTTAGCCTTCAAACTGCAAACCGCCCACTACCCCCCCCCCCTCCCCGCAAACTGGTCATGCCCCATGCCGTGAACAGAAAGACGCCACCGAAAAAGGGGTTTAGTAAGAGTCCAATATGTCAATTAGGCAAAAATGTATTCGGCCATATTTGTATGTCTCTAACTACTCCCCCAATCACAAAACACACATAAACTGCCTGCGGGTTTTGTCTTACACCCGAGAAGGAGAGATCGCCCGGGTGCGGTCGACATGGAAACCGCATGGTTTAACAACGAAATCCATACCAGGCGGGCGGTCAAAACGGAGCTCAAATTGGACACTGGAAAACAGTAATGACCGCGAGAATATTAACCCTAAATACCGCCATTTTTGCGAAATAATTTCTAAAATTATTCTGAATTCTGAACTTTCAAACATAAATTCGATCCAATACAACTCACTGGACATTATGCACTGCGACTTACCAGTGAGAGACACCAGGGACTGCACATAAATTTAAAAAAAACAGGACCCTGTTTTATCACCAGAAACGGTAAACTGTAACAAAATATCCCCCAACCCCCAAATTGAAAATACGCTATCCTCACGCAAACGGCCTCAGTGCCTTGCAAGAAGACTTGTGGATTTTAGAGCCGTGTAGCCTTGTCTGTAGTGCACATTTACCAGGAACAAACCGCCTCTATTTTAAACACAGAAGTTGGTAACAAACCACAACCTTGGAAAGACAACCCAACATCACGAGATTTTACCCTCCCGCCCACATACAAACGCAGGGTGCTGATTTCTGTTCCGAAATAAAAAGGTAGGTAAATGCGAGCAATGGCTAAATTGCAGCGGTTGGTGTAAAGGCTGTAATGCTAGCAAAATAAAAAAAATGCTAGTGTCTTAGTTTCTGCCTCCATAAATGCCACACGCCGTTCATATAACGATCACCCTGTTTCGACAGAGACGCACGTACTGATTCAGAACTGAGGGCGAAGCCGTCTCAAAACTTTACACAGTGCGGTAAATAACTCAAAAGCACAAGACACATTTTCGGAAGTACAATCTTTAAACTCTTTTAAATTATTTCCGTTTCTCGACACAAACGCAAGAACGAGATGAATTCACATTAAACCTCGTTTTCAAACTCAATACCAACCTTCATCCAACCGTCAACGGCCTCGGAATGAAACAATACGACGGATAAGTAACAGAGAAGGCACAAATCTCGGAAACCTTTTCAGATTTCAGCCTACACACTGATTCGCCCTTGTGAACCAATGTACAGACCTGCGTAATACAACACAATCACATGCTCACACGCACTACAACTGAAGTTAACGCACTCGACACAAACGCAACGGATGATCTGTGACCAAGCCGAATGGGCAGGGCCCTGGCGGTAACAACGCCGCACAGCGGCGACAGCCGTAACCAACACGCCGACACAGGACGCGGTGTATCGATCGCTTAAAAAACACGGCTCTCCTGCACACTGAAGAAACTACACAGCAACAGCTGGAAATTTAAATTGCAGAAACACGTTTCCTAAAAGGTTCTTCTGCAAAATTTCAGAACTTCCTACGGCCTGTCTTACTATAAAAATTTGTGATTCCTCGTTGTCTTCAACCAATTTGTCGTCAAAAAATGACGTCATCAACAATGTCAACAGATATTTGTTTACTCGACATTGTTGTGTTTCACAACAATGCCGTGTAAACAAATATCTGTTGGCATTGTTGAAGTCGACACAACAATGCCGAGTAAACAAATAACGCTTCACAACAAGGAAATCAAAGAATATCAAGTCAGTCGCATTATCACTGCTCCAGAAGCAGCACATCGCATTTTTCAATATTGACTGACAGTCGGCCTAAAACATCAGGAAAGTGAAAGAAGAAGTTATCAAGTATTTGAAGTACCAACTCTAACAAGGTAAACTGATACTCATTCGATATATTACGATTATGAAAACTATTATAAAAACTGACTTTATGATCGATTTTGAGAAGAAGATTTGCAAGGGTGGGGCTGGACGTAAAAAGTTGACTGACCTAGAACAGTTGGCCTCTGAACAGTGACGTAAAGAACTACAACATCAGACATATTTAACAAATAAAGAAAAGTGAAGGAAGTCTTACATTGATAAACGTAGAAAAACGTATTCAATAAGAACAGAAGGGAAAAAAAGCAGACGAAGATTTGTAAGGGTGGGGTTGGACGTAGAAAGTTGAGTGACCAAGAACAATTGGCCTCTGAACAGCGACGTAAAGAACTAAAACATCACACCTACTTAACAAATAAAGAAAAGCGAAGGGGGAATTACATCGATAAACGAGACCATATTAACGACATATGTAGAAAAACAGACGAAGATTTGCAAGGGTGGGATTGAGCGTAGAAAGTTGACTGACCAAGAACAGTGGGCCTCTGAACAGCGACGTAAAGAATTAAAATATCAGACCTACTTAACAAGTAAAGAAAAGCGAAGGGAGATTTGCATTGATAAACGCAGAAAAACTTATTCAACAAGAACAGAAGAGCAGAAGAAAACAAACGAAGACTTGAAAGGGTGGGATTGGACGTAGAAAGTTGTCTGACCAAAAACAGTTGGCCTCTGAACAGCGACGTAAAGAACTAAAACATCAGAACTATTCAACAAAAAGCAGAATAGAAAAAAAGAAGACTTGCAAGGGTGGGTTTGGACGTAGAAAGTTGACTAACCAAGAACTGTTGGCCTCTGATCAGCGACGTAAAGAACTAATCCATCAGACCTATTTAACAAATAAAGGAAAACGAAGGGAGAGTTACATTGATAAACATAGAAAAACGTATACAACAAGAACAGAAGAGAAAAAAAGAAAAAACAGACGAAGATTAGCAATGGTGTTGCTGGACGTAGAAAGTTGACTGATCAAGAACAGATGGCCACTGAACAGCGACGTAAAGAACTAAAACATCAGAACTATTCAACAAAAAGCAGAATAGAAAAAAAGAAGACTTGCAA